GGATTGAACCGATTACGATATTTTAGGTACCCATTCATGATTATCTGATTTAACTCCATATTGTTGCAGGTGGAAGAACATATGTCTTCCACTAGGGATTACTATTTTAGCATAGCTTCCTAGCATGAAATTATAGAAATAGTGTTTACTGTTTGATGAGCCATGGTGGGGCTCCCTATTTTCCACCCATTCAAATGGGTGTGGGTATAATAATACTGTGGCTTGTGCATAAGATATTGTGGAAAAAAACGGGCTCCATGCCACCGGGGCACTTCAGTGGTAAAGTCAATAAAAAGGCAAGCATAAACCACTACTGAGTCCTTACAAACCACGAACAGATGTAGCTGAGGTTTATTTAATGAGGTAATTAGGTTAGCGCGTTAGTGTGGTATTGACCATCTGAGCCCACAACTTTTGACTTGTGTTTTTCATCCATTCAGTATCGATGTAGCCTGTGATTGCTACTTCTCCTTTTTCAATGCCAGTTCGGATGTTGGCAACGGTGATATAGGAGAAAGAAGAGCAAGTCAAAAAGAATGACACTAGCAGTAGGAACGAAGAAATGATGTTGAATATGAAAGGAACGCTGTCAAAAAATTACCCTCTGGAAAAAACTCACACACGACGATTTTCCGCGAAAAAAAAGAAAGAAGAAGGGCCCACCCGGATTTGAACCGGGGACCTATTGATCTGCAGTCAATTGCTCTACCACTGAGCTATAAGCCCGCTTCTGAAATCCGAGGGATTAATCGGACTCTCATACGTTTTCCTTAACTTTCACTTCTTCCACCTACTTTCCTCCTCTCACCAGGTGTGACGCTGTGTGGTATCTCGCACTGAATATTTAAGTATTGGACTAACCCTGATGCCAAGGAAAAGTAATTAGTATATAATTAACAGTTTATTGTTAATGTTAATCTACCAATATTTGTGGAAATAGAAATAGATTTATTGTTTAACGAGCCATAATGGGGCTCCCTATTTTCCCCCCGTTCAGGCGGGTAGGGGCA